CTCATTGTGTCATTGTCTCTACCTGTGCTCTGGTGGATCTGCACAGTTCTTGTTCTTTCTTAGATCAACTCCTGCTTTTTCTACTTGCTGTTCAGTCGCTCAGTCGTGACCGACTCTTTGCAGCCCCATGGATTGGATTGCAGGGCGCCCAGGCCTCCCTGTCCCTCCCCATCTCCCAAAGCTTGCCCAAGTTCATGTCCATTGCATCGGTGATGCCATCCAACCGTCTCATCCTCTGTCATCCCCTTCTCCTCCTGCCTTCAATTTTTCCCAGCATCAGGGTCTTTTCTAATGAGTCAGTTCTTCACATGAGGTGGCCAAACTATTGGAGTTTCAGCCTCAGCATCAGTCTTTCCAATGAACACCCAGGACGGATCTCCTTTAGGATGGACTGGTTGGATCTCCTTGCTGTCCAAGGGACTCTCAAGAGTCTTCTCTAACACCACAGTTCAAAAGCATCAATTCTTCAGTGCTCAGCTTTCTTCATAGTCCAACCCTCACATCCATACATGACCACTGGAAAAACCATAGCCTTGACTAGATGGACCTTTGTGGGCAAAGTGATGTCTCTGCTTTTTAATATGCTGTCTAGGTTGGTCATAGGTTTTCTTTCAAGGAGCAAAGTCTTTTAGGTCCATGGCTGCAAGCACCATCTGCAGTGCTCTTGGAGCCCAAGGTAAATAAAGTCAGCCACTGTTTCCATCGTTTCTCCATCTATTTGCCATGAAGTGATGGGACTGGATGTCATGATCTTAGTCTTTTGAGTGCTGAGTTTTAAGCCAACTTTTTCACTCTCCTCTTTCACTTTAATCAAGAGGCTTTTTAGTTCATCTTAACTTTCTACCTTAAGGGTGGTGTCATCTGCATATCTGAGGTTGTGATATTTCTCCTGGCAATGTTGATTCCAGCTTGTGCTTCATCCAGCCCGGCGTTTCTCATGATGTACTCTGCATATAAGTTAAATAAGCAGGGTGACAATATACAGCCTTGCTGTATTCCTTTCCCAATTTGGAACTAGTCTGTTGTTCCACGTCTAGTTCTAACTGTTTCTCCTTGACCTGCATACAGGTTTCTTAGGAGATGGGTAAGGTGGTCTGGTATTCCCTTCAAGAATTTTCCACAGTTTGTAGTGATCCACACAGTCAAAGGCTTTGGCATAGTCAATGAAGCAGAAGAAGATGTCCTTCTGGAATTCTCTTGCTTTTTCTATGATACAACGGATGTTGGTAGTTTGATCTCTGGTTCTTCTGCCTTTTCTAAACCCAGTTTGAATATCTGGCAGTTTTCAGTTCACATAGTGTTGAAGCCTGACTTGGAGAATTTTTAGCATTACTTTGCTAGCATGTGAAGTGAGTGTTACTGTGTGGTAGTTTGAACATTCTTTGGCATTGCCCCTCTTTGGGATTGGAATGAAAACTGACCTTTATCTACTAGTTAGCCCTTATTATCCTCATGGAGTGCAGATGTCTCCTCTAAGGTGTCTCAATAGCTTCCATCTTAAATTCAGATGATGAGGCTCAGAAAAGTCAGTTACATCACTGGTAACACTACAGCAAGATTTGAATTCAAAGCCCACATGCTTTACTCTGGTTCTTCCACAATTGCTTCATCTGTGTTGATTTAGAAAATTAAATAGTAACAGTAGATATTTTGGAGTATTTAACATGAATCCTCCCCTATGGCCAATTATCCTGCTGTTGAACATTTTCAACAACACATAAATAAAATGTGTATGTTCACACATTATAATATTTTTAATATTACTTTTTCACCCAAGGACATCCTAAAATTGATTTTTACCCAGATTTTTAGTAAAAATTGATTGTATCCTATAACCTTGCTCTTTTTAAGAAAATTATATTCCTTTTACCTAAAGCTCTTGTGAAAAGATATTCTTCAAAGGAGAACAATGAAGTAAATAATATACAAGGTTAACTCTAGTTTCCTCAAAATTGCCCTTGGTTGGATTTGTAATGCCAATCTTATTGGCATTGGTATCTGTAAATATAACTATTGATGAAGCTCCTATGCCAAGTTCCAAATGGCCAATAATTATAGTTAGTCCAGGAAGTTGAAAATATTTCCAAGGTTATCTACACTTTGATGTTTTGCTTGTGGTACATTTTATGCAAAGTTCTTCTTACCTGATGGGTAAGATTTTATTTTATTTGAAGGTTTTTAGGACAATGTAACCTCATAAATAATTATTATTTTGGACTGTAAAATGGAATATATCCTTGAGATTCTGTTTCTTTTAGATCAAAGTTACTGATTGCTTGGGCTTCCCTAGGGTCTCAGTGGTAAAGAATCTTCCTGCCAATGCAGAAGCCGCAGGAGATGCAGGTTTGATCCCTGGTCTGGGATGATTCCCTGGAGAAGGAAATGGCAACCCACTCCAGTATTCTTCCTGGGAAATCCCAGGACAGAGAAGCCTGGAGAGCTATAGTCCATGGGGTCACAAAAGAGTCAGATAGAACTCAGCGTCTAAACAACAACTGATTGCTCGTAAAAGTAATACCGTGTATGAATGTTAGTTAATGGCAGTAACTTCCACAGCCTTGTTTCACTTCTACTCTATGCATTTAACCAGCTTAGTGTGCTGACAAGCCCGACTGTGGAAGGACTTCGAGGCAATCATTTATTTACTCATTCATTTGTGCAGATGACTTGAGCAGCTATTGTGGGTGAGGCACTGTGCTGGATGCCGAGGGTGAACCAGCAGGCGAGACAAAACCTCTGCCCCCGCAGAGCCTAGCTGGGGAGACAGACGGCAACCTAGTAAGCGAATGTCTCACCCGTCACATGCCTCGCTGGGGCTGTAAGGGGGAGCTTGAAATAAAAAGCTGGCGAAAACAAAGGCTGAGGGCAGGGATCTGCACTGCCCAGGTCTGATTGATTCATGCTTCAGAAACATTTCCTTGCCACATATTCCTATATATTCCTGAATCTTGACCGTAGTACTTTTGCTGTATTGCCAGAGTAACATTGTCTTCCTCAAGAGAGTGGTAAACTTGAATTAGTGAAGAGCAAGAAGCAGGTAAAATTGGCTCTACTTATTTATTTACTTAGCCACCCATTCCAATAAACATGTATTTCATTATGTTAGCTCCTTTAAAAAAATTAAAGTACAGGTGATTTATATATTTCATAAGTTTCAGGTGTACAATACAACATACTGATTCAGTATTTTTATAGATTATACTGCATTTAAGGTCATTATAAAATACTGACTATAGTCCCTGTGCTGCCCAATATAGTCTCATAGCTTATTTGTTTTATACATAGTAGTTTCTACCTCTCAGTCCCCTACTCCTATTTTGCTATTATCCCAACTCTCTTCCTACTGGCAACTACTAGTTTGTTTGCTATATCTGTGAGTCTGTTTCTGTTTTGTTATATTTTTTAGATTTTACATATAAGTGATACCAAACAGTATTTGTCTTTCTCTGTGTGAATTATCTCACTAAGCATTATATCCTCCAAATTCATCCAAGTTGCTGCAAGTGGCTAAATGTCCTTCTTTTTAATGGCTGAGTAATATTCCACTGTGTATGTGTCTTTATGGTATTCTTTATCTACCATCTGTTGATGGTCACTAAGACTGTTTCCCATATCTTGGCCATTGTTAGGTAATACTGCTATGATACTGGGGTACAGATAGCTTTTCAAATTAATGTCTCCACTTTCACTGTATATATACCCAGGAGTGGAATTGCTGGATCATATGGTAGTTTTATTACTAATTTTTGAGGAACTTATATACTGTTTTCCATATAGCTGCACTGTAAACATATCACTCTACTCCCTTTCAGCCTACAAAGTTTCTGCAGAAAAGTCCGCTGATCGCTTCATGCGGGGTCCCTTGTTTGTGATGCTTTGTTTTTTCTCTTGCTGCTTTAAATTTCTCTCTTTAAGTTTTGCCATTTTAATTATTATATATCTTAGTATGGATTTCTTTGGGTTCATCATGTTTAACACTTTCTGTGCTTTCTGTAGCTGAACATCTGTTTCCTTCTTCAGCTGCAGGAAGTGTTTCAACCAAAATTTCATCAAATACTTTCTGGCCCGTTTCTCTCTAGTCTTCTGAGACCCCTATAATGTGAATGTTGGTACCCCTGATGTTGTCCTAGAGGTAGGTTCCTTAAAATATACTAACTAAAAAAAATTTTTTTAAGTCTTTATTGAGCTTGTTACAATATTGTTTCTGTTTTATGTTTTGGTTTTTTGGCTACAAGACATGTGGGATCTTAGCCCACATGTGTTTAACCAAACATGGATTGAACTTGAACTTCCTTCGTTGGAAGGTGAAGTCTTAACTATTGGAGCATGAGGGAAGTCCTAAAGCATCCTTATCTCTTTAAGTTTGTGTTTCTTTTTCTTGTTCTGATTCCACAATTTCCACTATTTTATCTTCTAGATCACTTGTGCATTCCTCTCTGTCATTAGTCTGTTGTCAATTCCCTCTGAGTGTATTTCTCATTTGTTGTATTCTTCAGTTCTGACCAGTTCATTTTTAATATTTTCTAGTTCCTTGTTAAAATTCTTATGTTTATCTGCTCTTTCCCCAAGGTCAGTTAGCAGTTTTGTTAGTAATGTTTAGAGCTCTTTATCTGGTAAATTATCTATTTCATTAGGCTTTTCTTCTTGTTCTTTCATTTGAAACAAAGTCTTCTGTCTTCCCATTTTGTTTAGCTTTCTGTCTCTCTGAAATTAGGTGATGCAGCTACCGATCCAAGTCTCACAGGGGCGCTTGGTGGGGAGGGTCCCTGTGGCCCCACTGTGCCAAGTGGCTTTGGGGGGAGGGCTGGAGCCAAGGTGAGCAGGGGTCGCCTCCTCGCCCAGGGAATCTGGCAGCTGTCACCCTGGCGCGCGGTAGGGCTGCAGATGGCAGGGCGGAGCCAGGCCCTGTGTGAGCAGGGGTCGCCTCCTCGCCCAGGGTCACTGCCACCCCGTCGGGGCAGGGCTGAGGTCCAGGGCGTCGGGGGCAGACCGCCTGAGGGTCAGGTCAGAGCAAGCTCTGTTCCCTCCCACCGTGTGCCCTCCCCACCACCAAGGGCACTTTGCTCTAACAGTGAGCAATAGCAGGGCCAGAGGGTCTCAGCCGGTGCCCGGCGCGAGCCTGCGTGTGCTTGGCGTGCGCTGGGACCGTCCTGCCAGCCGGTGGGGGCCCCGGGCAGCGTCCCGCCCAGCGCCTCTGCGCCCTCTCCGGCGACAGCCGCCCTTCTCCGCTCAGAGGCCGAGCCGGGGCTCAGCTGACTTGGTTTCTTCCTGTTGCATGCATCCCCCTCGACAGGCAGTGGCCTCTTCACTCTGGTGGAGAGCAGGGTCAGGAGAGGGGCTGGCGCAGGGGTGAGTGGGGGCTGGGATCCGCTGGGGGGTCCCGCGACCAGCCAGAGTCTCAGGTTCCCCACCCCACCCCAGCTCCAGGCCTCACGGTGACTGCCGCGTTCCTCTTGCTCGGACGCAGGGATGCTCCGAGCTGGCCCTGCTCCAGGCATGCGCGCTCCTTGGCACCGGCAGCCAGCCTCCACCCTGGTGCAGAGTTGAGCCACAGCAGGAGGACCCGGAGCGGGCACCCGGTACAGGCCAGGCTTTATGCCGGGGCAGTCACAGGGAACCGGCCAGGGCCCCGGGCTGTTTGCAGTTTGCTTCTCCACCTGGTTTCAGGAGCAATCAAACATGCACGGGTTCTCTTTTCCGTCCGAGTCTCGGTTCCTTTTAGCCCTCTGGTACGCTCCATTGGTTTACAAACCAAGTGAGAAGACTTGAAATTCTGGTGTTGGACCCCAGCGCTGGGGCGCCTAACCCGTGGCTGGCACTCCTCCCCCGCCCCGCCCCTGAGAAAGGATCTGTAAGTTTGTGATAACCCCTCTTCTCCTCTGCCCCCTGTTGGAGGTGCGGGTCCTAACCTGATCGCATCTCTTCTTTCGCTTCCTGACTCTGTGTGGATCTTGTTTTGCAGCCTTGGTTCTGGAAGAGGCTTTCAGCCAGCCTCCAGTTTGTTCTCGGTGAGAGTTGCTCCGTATGTAGATGATTTTTGATGTTCTTGTGGAGGGCGGTAATCTCTGCATCCTTCTGCTGTGCATCGGCATCTCCTTCCGCTTCTGTTAGATTTTCTTGGAAGGCCAGAGTTGTAAAGATGCGAGATATGTGGAGGAGGACTTCTGCTTCTGAGCAGGACGTGATAGGCCAATACTCTTACGTGAATAACAAAATATTACAGAAGCCATTTTCAAATCATTACAGAGCTGTGAAAGCAATGAAGACCAAAGGAGTCAGCCTTCTAGAGAGGGAACAACTCTGAGATGACCTCAAATTGTTATTATTTTTCTCTTGGGGCATTTGTTAGTCTTAGAGATGCAATGATGCCTGAATTTGACCCATGTGGAGGGACTTTGCTAGAAGAAGAGAAACCAGCAAAACTTTTATAATCTTCTGGAGCACTGGAAACTTGAAGGGCCTCAAATGAATGCCTGAGTCTCCCCATTGTATTGAAATCTCCCATGGTCTCACAGAGCCTAGAAACAAATTCTCATTAAGAAGAGATCTGTCTCAAACACAGGGCCAGTCCCCCACTTTGCACATTTGTGAAATCTTGAAGTTGCATGGGACAGGAAGCCAAAAAATAAGCTTAAAACTTCTGAAGGGCAGAAAAGTGTTTTTGCAGGCTTTCAGTGATGAAAAGGCAAAGAATCACCATGCTTGAATGAAAATAGTTATGGAATAGTTATGAACAATGAAAGTGATTAGGCCAGAAATAAACTGAATCTTACTAAAATTTTATGCCAGTCCAGTTCCTGATTGGATTTAAGCGATTAGCCCACATTTTTCTGCCTAATAGTGGTGTATTAGTCAGCCTGGGGACTGCCCTGGCAGTCCAGTGGCTAATACTCTGTGCTCCCAATAAAGGGGACCGGGGTTCAATTTCTGGTCAGGGAACTAGATCCCGCAAACAAATATAAATAAATACTGGGCTTTCCTGGTTGTTCAGACAGTAAAGAATCTGCCTGCAATGCTGGAGACCTGGGCTTGATTCCCGGGGTTGGGAAGATCCCCTGGAGAAGGGAATGGCTACCCACTCCAATATTCTTGGTTGGAAAATTCCATGGACCGAGGAGCCTGGCGAGCTACAGTCCGTGGGGTCACAAGGAGTCGGACACGACTGAGCGACTAGCACACACGTCAGCCAGCTTGGGCTGCCGTTGCAGCATACTGCTGGTTGGTTCAAACGCCCCTAGCTTTATCTGTCACAGCTCTGGGGCTTGGGGAGGCCGAGATCTCGGTTTCGGCTAGTCTGAGTCTGCTGAGCTTCTCCCGGTTTGCTGATGGGGGCCTTTGGCTGCATCCTCTCCTGGCCTGTCCTCAGTGTGTGAGAACAGTGAGAGGTGTGAGTGGTAAACAAGGTCCCTGATCGTAACAGGTCAGGGTCCCACTCATGGGGTTTCATTTAATCTTAATTACTTCCTTAAAGGACCCATGTCCAAATATGGTCACATTGGGAGTTAGAGCTTCAGTATAAGAATTTTGGGAGGACACAGTTCATCCACAGCAAGAAGAGAGGGAAAACTTTTTTCTTATGGAAAATAGTAACTGGAACTTCTATCGGTCTTTTGTACAAAACATCCTATTTACATTCAAGGATCACTAGACATGTGAGGAGGCGAGTTCATATGACTAGCAATCAAGAGGGACAGAATCAACAGAAGTAAGCAGATGATCCATGTAACTGAAGTTAGCAGGCAAGAACTTCAAAACAACTGTACCGGGGACTTCTGGGTAGCTGAAGACAGTGACGGCTGCCTAACTACTTGCCTCCTGATATTTCTTCCTCAAAGGATTCAAAGCAACAAGATAGGATATGCAAATCTGCATAGAACCATGCCTTCAGCATAACTTCAAGACAGAGAATGCCAAGACTTTAAAAACGACTGTGAATTAAAAGAGAAAAATCACTACATCCCAGTGCACGGTCTCTTATACTTGCTGACCTCTGTAGGACCATAAGACTCTGTAGTAGACAAAGGCATACTGAGAAAAGCCTCAGCAAAGTAAAAAGGGAAGCTAGCAGAGAAGCTTAAAGCTCATCTAAAACTACCATCTTCAAGTCTAAAGTCACCTTCCATATGAAAATATTATCACAGTATCCAGGAAGAGGATAACATGGAAAGAGGAATCCTTTCCCTGTGGAAAGTTATTTAAAGGGCATTATTCAAAACATTGTTTAAGAAGACAGAAAAGAAAAGGAAAGGAGAAACACCCTTTGTAATTGGGTCATGAAGAGAAATGAAAGAAAAGGTAGAAATTTTAGGGTCCTATAAGATCAAAGAGAAATAAACCATTGGCTAGCTTACATTTCTTCCTCCTGCTACTAAAAAAATGAACACAATAACCCCTAAAAACACATGGATCTTGCTAAATTGCTGAAAGATGTATCCATTAAGTCAGAAATCTTAAAAAACACTACAATGCCATAAAAATAAAAAGAAATATCAACAAATTAATATAAAGTTGTTTCAAAAACAATCAGGAAAAAAATTTTCTACGTATGTCAACTGAGTAACAACCTACCTACCATGAGAAGCAGAAGAATTTTGTAAGTCAACACTCCAAACAGAATCATATACACTCATCCAAGCATTTGAAAGTATAAAAAAACAACCTTTGAATCAAAAATTAAAAAAATAAAGGAACATAAAAGGATAAAAACTCGAAGAAATACAAAGAATTGATTGAATTCCAGAAAGAAATGGATTAAAAAGGCAAAAAAAATAGGATAAATAACAAGAATATAAGGTGCCCAAGGAAAAAAAAGACATGAAAATCTAATAGGCATACAAGAAAGGCAGGAAAATAAATAAGAGAATAAGGTAAAAGAAAATAAAAACATGATTAAAGAAAAAGTAGTGGAAGAGAAGAAAGGCAAGGAACAATACAAAAAAGAAAACTACTAACCAGTATCCTCTTGGTATTGATGCAAAAATACTAAAAAAATATTAGCAAGCGGAATCAACATTAAGAAATACACCACAACCAAGTGGAATTTATTCAAGGAACACGAGATTTGTTAAATATTAGGAAAAGCATGAATATCATATACTATTTCAACTGTGCTAAAGAAAAAAAAAATCGCATGATTATCTATATGGATACTGAAAAGACCTATGACAAAATTAAAACCCATGCACAATAAAAACACTAAAAACTAAGAATTTTGAAATAAACAAATGGGACCTAATCCAATTTAAAAAATTTTTATAGCAAAGGAAACCATAAACAAAATGAAAAGGCAAACTATGGGCTGGAAGAAAATATTTGTAAATGATGTGACTGCCAAGGGGTTAATTTATAAAATATAGAAACAGCTATACAATTCAATAACAAAAAACAAAAAACCCAATAGAAAAATGAGCTGAAGACCTAAATAATAATTTCTCAAAAGAGGACAAACAGATGGCCAACAGGCATATAAAAACATGCTTAATATTGCTAATTATTAGAGAAATGCAAATAAAAAGTACAATGAGGAATCACCTCACAGCAGGCAGAATGACCATCATCAAAAGTCTACAGATAAAACATGTTGGAGAAAGTATGGGGAAGGGAACTCCCCCGTGCTGTCGGTGGGAACATGAACTGGTGCAACCACTATGGAAAAGAGCATGGAGATCCCACAAAAACTAGAGTTCCGTATGATCCTGCAATCCTACTTCTAGGCATATATCCAGAGGAGACTAAAATTCAAGGAGGTACATGCACCCCAGTGTTCACTGCAGCAGTGCTCACAATAGCCAGAACACGGAAACAACTGAAGTGCCCAGTGACAGACGAGAGGAGGAAGCAGATGTGTTACATACACAACAGGACACCACTCAGACATAAGAAAAAATGGGGTCAAACAATGCCATCTGCAGCAACAGGGATGGACCTAGAGATGACCAGACTAGGTGAAGTTGTGGGAAAGAGAAAGACAAATGCCATATGGTATCACCTATCTGTGGGGCCTAAAATATGAGACAAACGAACTTCTCACAGACATTGAGAACAGACGCGTGGTTGCCATGGGGTGGGGGTAGAGAGGTGGATTAGGAGTTTGGGATTAGCAGATGCATATTATTGCATATGCATATAATGTATGCATATAATTGGCTATGTAAAAAGGCAAAAAGATATGACACTGAAACATAAACTCTTCAGGTCAGTAGGTTCCCAATATGCTACGGGAGAAGAGTGGAGAAATAACTCCAGAAAGAATGAAGAGACGGAGCCAAAGCAAAAGCAATTCCCAGTTGTGAATGTGGCTGGTGATGGAAGTAAAGTCTGATGCTATTAAGAGCAATATTGTGTAGGAACCTGGAATTTTAGGTCCTTGAATCAAGGTAAATTAGAAGTGGTCAAACAGGAGATGGCAAGATTGAACACTGACATTTTAGGAATCAGTGAACTAAATTGGACTGGAATGGGTGAATTTAACTCAGATGACCATTATATCTATTACTGTGGGCAAGAATCACTTAGAAGAAATGGAGTAGCCCTCATAGTAAAAAAAAAAAAAGAGTCTGAAGTTCAGTTCAGTTCAGTTCAGTTCAGTTGCTCAGTCATGTCTGACTCTTTGCAACCCCATGAACTGCAGCACGCCAGGCCTCCCTGTCCATCACCA